CTGCTTCGAATTACTAATGTTTATTTACTGCTGACATTGGGAGGTTAAAAAGAAAATATTAACCAGTTATTACTTCCCGAGCCTAAGCTAAAGAAGCATTGTAATCGAGTCGATCTCTAGAATGCAAAAAATTGGTCCCCCGTTTTCGCATGTCTGCCTTCTGTCCGGATTTTTATTACACAGATCTCAGAAACTACTGGAATTATTCGATGTTCAAATTTTCAGTTCTTTCCATTTCAATTTTCAATTTTGCGATTTTTCAAATTTTCGATTTTCCAAATTTTCGTTTTTTCGAACATTTGATTCATGGAATTTTCGGTTTCCTTTTCAGTTTCTCAATTTTCGATTTTTTGATTTCTTGAGTTTTGAATTTTTAAAATTTTTACTTTTTGATTTTGACTTTTCGATTTTCAAATTTTCGTTTTTCGCACTTGATTCATCGAATTTTCGGTGTTTCCTTTTCAATTTTTCAATTCTTCGATTTTTCGAATTTTCGATTTTGCAACTTTTCCATTCTTCGGTTTTTAGAATTTCTAATTTTTTCCTCTTCGATTTTTGATTTCTCTAGTTTTCGATTTTAGATAATAGAATTTAAAAAATTTTTACTTTTCGATTTTTGATTTTTAGCAATTCCGATTTTTCAACTTTCGATATTTCGATTATTCTATATCGTTTCTAGGATTTCTCGAATTTGGAATTTCCAATTTTCGGTTTTACTTTTCGATTTTGAGATTTTCAAATTTTCGGTTTTTCAGTTTTTTCCATTTTTCGACTTTCCGACTTGTCGATTTTACAATGTTTGATTTTTCGACTTTTGATATTTCGATATTTTGAGTCTTGGATTTTTTGAAGTCTCGATTTTCGAATTTTCAATTTTTCGATTTTTACATTTTCCAATTTTCGATTTTCAGTTTTGCGATTTTCGATATTCAAATTTTTTAAAATTTTAATTTTCGATTTTTGACTTTTAGAATTTCGGATTTTTCGATATGCGAATTTTCAATTTTTTTAATTTCGATTTTTCTACTTTTCAAGTTTTCAATTTTGCGACTTTCCAATTCGATTACGAATTATCGTTTTTTCGAATATTATTAGATTCATGAAATTTTCAGTGTTTCCTTTTCAATTTCATAATTTTTCAATTCTTCGATTTTTCGAATTTCCGATTTTACACCTTTTCCATTCTTCAGTTTTTAGAATTTTTTTTTCCTCTTCCATTTTGTGATTTCTCGAGTCTTCGATACTAAAATTTTTGAAAACTTTACTTTTTGATTTTTAGAATTTCTGATTTCTTAATTTTTTTCGAATTTCCGAAATTCGATTTTCAATTTTTTAATTTAGATTTTTCGATTTTTAAATTTTTCCAGTTTTCGACTTTCCTTCTTTTCTGGATTTGTCGAATTTGGAATTTTCAATTTTTGATTTTTTGATTTTCGATTTTTAGATTTTCAAATTTTAGGTTTACCGATTTTTCTATTTTGCGAATTTTCTATTTTTTTTCATTTCGATTCTCGACTTTTTCACTTTTCGATTTAGAATTTTCAGTTTTTTGACTTTTCGAATATCTGACTCATCGAATTTTCAATGTTCGAATTTTCAGTTTCCTCTTCAATTCTCGATTTTTCAATTCTTCGATTTTTCGGTTTTTCCATGTTTGAGTTGTTAGAGTTTACAATGTTTGAATTTTCAATTTTTTTTTCGATTTTTAATTTTTAGAATGTTCGATTTTTCGAATTTCCGAATTTTCGATTTTCGAATTATCGTTTTTACGATTTTTCGGGTATTAGATTCATGGAATTTTCAGTGTTCAATTTCATAATTTATCAATTCTTCAGTTTTTAGAATTTTTATTTTTTTTCTCTTCGAATTTTTGATTTCTCGAATTTTTGATTTTCAAAAATCAAATTTTCAAAATTTTTAATTTTTGATTTTTAGAATTTCTAATTTTTCAATTTTTTTTGAAATTTGGAAATTAGATTTTCAATATTTTTTTTAATTTAGATTTCTCGATTTAAAATTTTTCCAGTTTTCGACTTTCCATTTTTTGGATTTTAGAATTTCCGACTTTTCGACTTACCGAATTTTCAAATTTTTTACTTTTCGATTATCGATTTTTCGACTTATCGATTTAGAATTTTCGGTTTTTCGACTTTTCGGATATCTGATTCATTGAATTTTCGATGTTCGAATTTTCAGTTTTTTCATTTTTGAGTTTTTAGAGTTTCAATTTTTTTATATTTCGAGTTTTCGATCTTTGAATTTTCAATTTTTTGGTTTGTCAAGTTTTCAATTTTCAGTACTCGAATTTTCATTTTTTTTCAATTTTTCGGTTTTTTATTTTTAGAATGTTCGATGTTTCCATTTTTCCAATTTTCGATATTGAATTTTCAGTTTGTCGATTTTTCGACTTTCCGATTTTTCCATTTTCGAATTTTTGTTGTTGCGATTTTTCGATTTTTTGATTTTACACATTTTCCATTTTTCAGTTTTTAGAATTTTTATTTTTCTTCCTCTTGGATTTTTTGATTTCTCGAGTTTTCGATTTTCCATACTCAAATTTGAAAAATGTTTACTTTTTGATTTTTGATTTTTAGAATTTCAGATTTTTCCATTTTTTTCGAAATTTCGAAATACGGTTTTCAATTTTTTTATTTAAATTTTTTGATTTAAATTTTCCAGTATTTGATGTACCGATTTTTTGGATTTTAGAATAGCATTTTCGACTTTCGATATTTCGATTTTTCTATATTTCCATTCTTGGATTTGTCGAATTTGGAATTTTCAATTTTTGTTTTTTGATTTTCCCATTTTCCAAATTTTCAATTTTTTTACTTTTCGATTTGGAATTTTTGATTTTTCCAGTATCTGATTCGTCGGATTTTCGAATTTTCGGTACCTATTCGAATTTTCAGTGTTTTAAATTTCAATTTCTCGATTTTTCAGTTTTTCCATTTTTTAACTTTCCGATTTTAGGATGTTCTATATATATTTCGATTCTTGGATTTTTCGAATTCTCGATTTTCGAATTTTTCCATTTTTTGAATTTTCGATATTAAAATTTTCATTTTTTAATTTTTCGACTTTCCGATTTTAAAATTTTCGTTAGTTCGATTTTTCGAATTTCTGATATTCGAATTTTCATTTTGTTTCCCGATTGCTCAATTTTTCAATTCTTCTGTTCTTCGATTTTTCAACTTTTCCATCCTTCAGTTTTTAGAGTCTTCAATTTTTTACTTTCGATTTTTCATTTTTTTCTACTTTGCGATTTCCAGTTTTTCCATTCTTCCCTTTTGCAATTTTTTTACTTTCCAATTTTTTGATTTCTCGAGTTTTCGATTTTCGATACTAAAATTTTCGTTTTTTTTTCAATTTTTAGATTCTTCTGTTTTTGGACTTTCCAATTTTTTTATTTTTCGATTTCACGAATTTTCGATTTTTCCATCCTTCAGTTTTTGGATTTTGCAATTTTTTTGTGATTTTTTGATTTCTTAAGTTTTCAATATTAGATTATTCAATTTTTGATGTTTTGAATTTCCGTAAGATCCTTCCATTTTTTGGATTTTCGAATTTTCATTAGTCTGCCTTTCAATTTTCGGTTTTTCCATTTTTCGAATTTCTCGAATTTTCGATCTTTGAATTTTCATGATATTTTTAATTTTCGATTTTTAATTTTCGGAATGATCGATTTTTCATTTTTCGAATTTTCGGTACCTATTCGAATTTTCAGTGTTTTAAATTTCAATTTCTCGATTTTTCAGTTTGTCCGATTTTAGGATGTTCTATATATATTTCGATTCTTGGATTTTTCGAATTCTCGATTTTCGAATTTTCAATTTTTGATTTATAGATTTTCGAATTTTTCCATTTTTTGAATTTTCGATATTCAAATTTTCATTTTTTAATTTTTCGACATTCCGATTTTAAAATTTTCGTTAGTTCGATTTTTCGAATTTTTGATATTCGAATTTTCATTTTGTTTCCCGATTGCTCAATTTTTCAATTCTTCTGTTCTTCGATTTTTCAACTTTTTCATACTTCAGTTTTTTACTTTTCAATTTTTCGAATTTTCATTTTTTTCTACTTTGCGATTTCCAGGTTTTTTATTTTTCGATTTCACGAATTTTCGATTTTTCATCCTTCAGTTTTAGGATTTTGCAATTTTTTTGTGATTTTTTGAGTTTTCAATATTAGATTATTCAATTTTCGGTTTTTCCATTTTTCGAATTTCGATTTTTGGAGTTGTTATGTACGCTCTTGGTTTTTATTTTATAGAGATTATCACAAAACAAAAAATTTCAAAAACAAACTTTATCGTTTTTCAAAGAATCGGCATTTATTGGGGAGGAAAGTTACATAATACATACCAATAGCATAAATTTAGTATCGTTCCCAGCATTCTACTTTTGAATGTTTGATTAAGTTTCCTCAAATTAGATTTGGAAATCTAAATTTGTCCAAATACTTATCTAAACGACAACATTTATTAGTTGTTTCATAATCTTCTACGTGGCATCAATTTGACAAGTTGACTATAGTTCTTGTTTTGACGAGGCGGCAAATGTCAAGGTCGACTTTGATGTGACAGTTATATTTATAAATTGCGTATAATGTTCAAATTTCGTGCAGAGAAATGTCATAAGTCACGCATTATTTACTTTTTTTTTTAGATATTCGTATGAAACCTGACCCCATGTGATAACTAAATTTTGATTTCCTCGAAAAAACATCAAGGTGACATTAGACCACTATTACACTTGGAGGTTAAAACAATTTTATTCATTTTTAATGTACACCAGTGTTTTATATTTTGTTTTCCTCTTTTTACAAAAAAAAAGTTAGCATTTTTAAAAACTTAAAATTCTGATAAACTGTTAAAAAACTTAGTAATTTTAGTACCAACAAAAGAAAATTAAAAAACATTCAGAATTCTTTCCTCTGTATGGATTTAGCACACAAAGAGTTGTTTAGAATTTAATACATTTAGGAACTTTATTTTGTAGTTGCACAACCTGCCGGGTGTCAAAAGTGTTCCAAAGCGGAAATACAGTACTGCCTGGGAATCGACCTCATCAATGATCACTGCTGCTGTGACCGAAGATACCATGGTGAGTATCTACGGAAATCCCCTTCATATTTTAACAGCAGAAGTACCAACCTAACGGCGCGAAAGTCCCACTGACTCCAATTAATTAACAATTTCCAAGAATCAGAGATCACCGAGTTGTACAAATCTGCACATAATAAGTGCCGAAAGTACACTTCCGTGCATAATAAATGCACGTTCCGTCACTTTATTTTTGACGATCAACATATCAGATGCAACAGTGACCTCTTAATTGCTAGTTCAAGGCGCTAAGAACGTCCAACTTTAATTACCCTGTTAAGAAAATTGCCCTAATTTCGCCGATTTAATTAATTTTTCCAGAGGTATTGCCTTATATCCCCCACACCTGCTACTTGGGCACCCAAGTCTGCAAGCCCGTCATCGGTGACTGCACCGAGTACAGCCGCCTACGAAGCTGTTGTTGTGATAAGCACGCCCTTCAGAAATGTAAGTAATTGAGGAATTCGGTCCACAGCTTATGAAAGCTTTATTAATTACGAGAGGACGGCCTCGAGTTCGCGTGACCGTCTTCAACAATAAAATCCCACTTGTCTACATAAATAGTTTAACCGGTCGTTCACATTTCCATCTATTGATTGGGGCTTTTTTCCAGGGAAGAAAAAGTCTGCAGGGGTTCGTTCACACGTCAACAAAGGGACAATAGTGTTGGCGTTGATGATGGTGCATTTTGTGTACATATTGTAAATGACTTCTAATTACCAAAGCAATAACATTATTGATGCACAGTATTATAATAAATTTCTTGTTACGCAAGTTTGTTTATGTTTTTTTTCTTCGGCTTCTCTTTCTGTATTAATTAGTTTCGTTTTCTTCCGTTACCTGTTGCGAAATCGCAGACGCTAAATCGGTTCAAGATACAGTTAGATGGGAATGTCTTGTACATTATAGATGGGACCGAGGTAGTCGGTCTCGATCAGCGAAAAGATGAAGTGCTTGGTGGTTTTAGTAATCGTGTGCTTTGTAGCTGCACAGACAACCAGTAAGTCTTCTAAATTAGTCCCTCCAATTAAGCCCTTTGTACATACCTTAATCATTTAATTAGTTAAGTAAATGTGGTGTTAAATTCACGTTCCATGAGTCACACTTGACCTCTATGCCATACCCTTGGATCGACTAGAAATCGCATATTTCAAAGTAGTTGAAAAACCAACAAATAAATTGACTTTTTTTGTAAATCACTCGATATTAAATAAGCGCTTCCAACCATGACGCGCAAAAAACCCTACTCCCTTCACTTGTTGTAGCAATATACACGAACAACGACATCGAAGGTTCTTTCGGTTTGGCCCACACTGAAGGTCTGCGACGACGGTGTCCACTCTGCGACTCTTCCGTGTACAGCTACTGCAGCGAAAAACTCTTCCACGACTCGTGTTGCTGTCACAACCCTAATAACCCTTACGGTAAGTTTGCGAGCGCAGCGAGCACATCTAACACTAACTGTTGCAGATCGTCTCCCTTACCAGTGCCAGTACGCCGACTGCAACTTCCTGCACGCCAACACCTGCCGTGAACACAAACTCATCACAGCCTGCTGCTGCACTAGCGTTTTCTACAAAAAATGAAACACCCCCTACGTAATAAATATAATTTATTTATAACGTCACTTACACAATAGTTAGATAAGAGCTCATTTGTAAATAATGAAGCTTGAACAGTGTCTAGTAACGAGATAGTAATTTCTGTGGTACCTAAATATCATGCAGCAACTCAACTTCGGTACGACCACCCTCCAACATTTAAGTTATCTTTTAGTGTTATTTATTAACGCTACGGCGGGTCACATGATCGATTCGTTTGAATTTCGCGCCAAAGCGTTGAGGTTAGGAATCGCACATGCGCCGCACTGCTTCCCTGTACATTTACCTCTAGGTTTTATTTATTAATAAATTAACATGTTTTATTAGGTTCGAGTTTTATTTACATGTAACGAATAGACGAAATTTTGGTAATTTGGGAGATTAGGCCAACGGATTAGTGAGGGATCGCTGCCATCCTCGCTTTTTGATTTTTTCTCTAAACACACTCGAAGACATTGAAAATTAGTGCTGCCATCTATGAGTTATCGAATACACTACAAAATACAAGAACAAGCGCATTGAAAGAGCCGCAGCTACACTGGGATTTATAAACTTGCTGTTGACGTTGAAGTTGTGGTGTTTTAAGTTTCTTCTTGTCGAAATAAGTCTACACAGATTAACAAAGGAAAAATGTAGCCCCGCCCACCCACCCTATCTCAATTGTGATGATTTTTTTTATTCGTCGTGAGCCAAGGGGGCGGAGCTTAACTGCAAAATCCTTATTTCTCTACGAGAAATTAAAAACATTTTTTGAGTATCTTGTTGTTCAAAGACAACTACGTATACGAAGAAAAAAAATAACGCCAAAGATTATGCCCCACCCATACCCGCCCCGATCTCAATTCTCCATTGTGATGAATTTTATATTCGTTGTCAGATCGAGGGGCGGGGCTTAATTGCAAGATCCATATTTGTCTAGAAGAATTTACAATTTTGAACATGTTTTAAGTTTCTTGTTTTGAAAAAACGACTACGTATATTAAGAAAAAAGGCAAAATATAAGGCCCGCCCACCCGCCCCATCTCAATTGTGATGATTTTTTTTAATGGTTGAGAACTAAAGGAGCGAAAAATTCTTATTATTTCTCTACAAAAAATTACCATGTAAAACATGTTTTTGCGTATCGTGTTATTCAAAGAATACTAGGTATATTAAGAAAAAATTAAAGCCAAAGATTAAGCCCCGCCCATATATGCCCTGATTTAAATATGTAGTAACGAAGCTTTCATTCGTTGCCAGACCTAGGGGAGGAGCCTAATTGCAAAATGCGTATTTCCCTACATAAATTTACCTTTTTAAACGTGTTTTCAGTGTCTTAGGATTAAAAAAATTATCACAATTGAGATGGAGGGGAGGGGGGTTCTCTTTTGCCTTTTTTTTCTTAATGTACATAGTGTTTTTTGAACCACACGATACTCAAAAACATGTTTTTAATTTCTTGTAAAGAAATAAGTATTTTGCACTTAAGCTCCGCCCTCTTGGCTCACGACGAATAAAAAAAATCATCACAATAGAGAAAGAGCGGGTGGGCGGGGTTTATATTTTGCCTTTTTGTTTTAATATGTGTGGACTTCTTTTCACCACATTAAATTAAAAATATGATTAAAATTGAAAATTTGTGTAAGGAAATATCGATGTTTTTATAAGGCTCCGCCCCATAATTGCAAAATCCATATTTCCTTGCAAAAATGTACAATTTTAATTTTAACTTGCTATTTTTCGAATGTTCGATTGTTGAACTTTTCCATTCTACAGTTTTTAGTTTTCAAATTTTTATTTTTCGATATTTCCAATTTTTTGATTTCCCGAGTTTTCAATTTTCGATATTCGAATTTTCAATATTTATACTTTTCGATTTTGAATTTTGAGAATGTTCGGTTTTTCCATTTTAGAATTTTCGGTATTGGAACTTTTAGTTTTTTAAATTTCGACTTCTGATTTTTCAGTTTTTCCATTATTCGACTTTCCATATTTTCATATTTCTATATTTCGATTCTTGGATTTTCGGAAGTCTCACTTCTCGAATTTTTAATTTTTGGATTTTTAGATTCTCTATTTTTCGGTCTTCAGATGTTTTAATTTTCGATTTTTCAATTATTCAGTTTTTCGAATGTTTTTCAGATTTTCCATTCTTCAGTTTTTAGTTTTCAATTTTTCGATATTCGAATTTTAATTTTTTTACTTTGCGATTTCCAGTATTTCCATTTTTCAGTTTTTCCCTTTTTCAATTCTTTACTTACCGATTTCTTGATTTCTCGAGTTTTCGATTTTCGACACTCAATTTTCAATATTTCTAGTTTTAAATTTTTCAGATTTTCAAGTTTTAGATTCTTTAATTTTTAGACTTTCCAATTTTTTTACTTTTCGATTTTTCAATTTTTCCTTTCTTCAGTTTTTCGATCTTTCAATTTTTCGACTTTCAAGATTTCCATATTTCTATGCTTCACTTCGTGGAATTTTCGAAGTCTCGATTTCGAATTTCCAATTTTTCAATTTTCGAATTTTCGGTTTTTTGATTTTTGATTTTGTTGTTTTCCGATTTTCCAATTTTTCCATGTTTTCGATATTCGATTTGCTCGATTTTTCAATTCTTCTATTTTTCGAATGTTCGATTTTTCAACTTTTCCATTCTTCAGTTTTTAGTTTTTTAAATTTCGATTTCTAATTTTTCTGTTTATCCACTTTTCAATTTCTAAAATTTGGAATTTCGTTATTTTCATATTTCAACATTCCCATTCTTGGATTTTTTGGAAATCTCGATTTTCGAATTTTCAATTTTTCGATTTTTCATTTATTCTATTTTTCGAATGTTCGATTTTTGCAGATTTGCCATCCTTTTTTAGTTTTCAATTTTTTATTTTTCGGTATTCGAATTTTCACTTTTTTTTTACTTTGCGATTTCCAGTTTTTCTATTCTTCAGTTTTTCCATTTTTTTTTTCTTTCCGATTACTTGATCTTTCAAGTTTTCGATTTTCGACATTCAAATTTTCAATGTTTCTACTTTCAGATTTTTAAAATTTTCAATTTTTGGATTCTTCAGTTTATCGATCTTTCATTTTTTTTTGATTTTTTGATTATTCAGGTTTTCGATATTAGAATTTTCAATCTTTTTACTTTCGATTTTTGAATTTCTGATTTTTTGAATTTCCATTAAATTTTTCTGTTTTTTCGATTTTCGAATTTTCGTTGGTTCAATTTTTCAATTTTCGGTTTCGACAAAATAAAATTTTATCATTTTTCAAAGAAACGAAATTTAGTGGACTTTACTTCAAGGGAGACGTAAATTACAACTCTATAGCATAAATTTAGTGTCCTGTATTTTACAGTTGAATGCTTGAGTAAGTTTTCTCAAATTAGAGTTGGAAATATAGATACTTATCTTTACGATAACATTTATTAATTCTTTCATAATCTTCTACGTGGCATTAGTTTGACAAGTTGACTATTGTTCTTGTTTTGACGAGGCGGCAAATGTCAAGGCCGACTTTGATGTGACAGTTATATTTACAGATTACGTATAATGTTCAAATTTCGTGCAGAGAAATGTCATATTGGGAATTGAGATCGGGGCGGGTATGGGCGGGGCCTTATCTTTGGCGTTATTTTTTTTCTTCATATACATAGTTTTCTTTGAACAAGATACTCAAAAACATGTTTTTAATTTCTTGTAAAGAAATAAGTATTTTGCACTTAAGCTCCGCCCTCTTGGTTCACGACGAATAAAAAAAAATCATCACAATAGAGAAAGAGCGGGTGGGCGGGGCTTATATTTTGCCTTTTTGTTTTAATATCTGTGTACTTCTTTTCACAACATTAAATTAAAAATATGATTAAAATTGAAAATTTGTGTAAGGAAATATCGATGTTTTTATAAGGCTCCGCCCCACTCACTCCTACCTCAATTGTGATGAGATTTTCATTTCTAATCAGACGAGGGGCGGAGTTTAATTGTAACATCAATATTTCTCTAGAAAATTCTACCCTTCTAAAAACATATTTCATATGGTAATTTCTTGTAGAGAAATGAGGATTTTGCAAAGTAAACTCCGCCCTTCAGCTCATGATGAATAAAGCATTCATTACAATTGAGAGCGGGTGGGTGGGTGGAGCTTATATTTTGTCCATTATTTCTTAATATACGAAGTCTTTTTTTCCCAACAAGAAATTGAAAATATGTTGTTGAAAAAAACTCTATATATTAAAAAAATAGTAGGCCCCACCCACCCACCCCTACCTCAATTGTGATGAGTATTTAATTTCTAATTAGACCAGGGGCGGAGTTTAACTGTAACATCAATATTTCTTTAGAAAATTCTACCCTTCTAAAAACATATTTCATATGGTTATTTCTTGTAGAGAAATGAAGATTTTGCAAACTAAACTCCGCCCTTCAGCTCACGATGAATAAAGCATTCATTACAACTGAGAACGGGTGGGTGGGCGGGGTTTATATTTTGTCCATTATTTCTTAATATACGAAGTCTTCTTTTCCCAACAAGAAACTGAAAATATGTTGTTGAAAGAAACTCTATACATAAAAAAAAAGTAAGCCCCACCCACCCACACCTACCTCAATTGTGATGAGTATTTAATTTCTAATCAGACGAGGGGCGGAGTTTAATTGTAACATCAATATTTCTCTAGAAAATTCTACCCTTCTAAAAACATATTTCAAATGATAATTTCTTGTAGAGAAATGAGGATTTTGCAAACTAAACTCCGCCCTTCAGCTCATGATGAATAAAGCATTCATTACAATTGAGAACGGGTGGGTGGGCGGGGCTTATATTATGTCCATTATTTCTTAATATACGAAGTCTTTTTTTCCCAACAAGAAACTGAAAATGTTGTTGAAAAAAACCCTATATTAAAAAAAAGAGTAAGCCTCACGCACCCCTACCTCAATTGTGATAAGATTTTCATTTCTAATCAGACGAGGGGCGGAGTTTAATTGTAACATCAATATTTCTCTAGAAAATTCTACCCTTCTAAAAACATATTTCATATGGTAATTTCTTGTAGAGAAATGAGGATTTTGCAGCTAAACTTCGCCCTTGAGCTCACGATGAATAAAGCATTCATTACAACTGAGAACGGGTGGGTGGGCGGGGTTTATATTTTGTCGATTATTTCTTAATATCGAATAATAAAATTATCGATTTTGTTGGGAAAAGAAGACTTCGTATATTTCTTAATATACGAAGTCTTCTTTTCCCAACAAAATCGACACTTTTCTACAAATATTTACTATTTTAAACACGTTTTACCTTTCTTGTGAAAAGAAGACTACACATATTAAGAAAAAACATGTAAGCCCTTGTAGTTATACCTAATCTGTTTTCTGTTACTTCAGGGGATTTTCCTTCAAGTTGGCAGCACTGTACTAGACACCGTTCACTGTAAGATCAACACAGCCGTAAATCTGGGTAGAAGCACAAAATCAGTCGGGCCAAGTCCACTTTCAAATTTAAGGAGTGGACGTACCCTCAGAGGCGCCCGTCATCGTTTCTCTGTTATAGTTTCTATATACCTGCGCAAAAGTATTACCTGCTTAGATTTGTGTCTAATAGATTCGCATTGGTGCTAGCGTGCTGATCAGTTCACTTAAATTTATGTTTCCCTGTGTTATTGTTTGCGATTTGAAAATCACCCCCTTGTGAACTGTGCATGTTACGCTATTGATTGACAGTCCGTTGTCAGATTCTGATGACTCACCACGTTGAATTTAAAACAGCAACATCAGCGGCAAGTTTATAAATCGACCTTAATTGTCAGTGCTACCAATGTATTTAGTGGTTAAAAAATAAAAATGGCGACGACAGCCGCGATCCAGTGAGATCACGTCATAATAATAAACGTATTGCTTAAATATTGACCTCCATGTTTGTTAAATCAGTCTTACAAACACAACCAAACAAAAATCACAACATATATGGCACGGACATAGGAGACGAGTCGAGTCGTCTCAAACTCGGTCTTTTTGAAAAGTGACCAATCCTCGAGCGACTAACTAAATAATTTTAAATGAGTAGTAGACAGTTTGAGACAACTCGCCTCTGACAAGAATAAATGCAACATATAACACCACACGTAATTATATACAGGGTGTACGTAAAACATCGAGTGTCAATTCCTGATTCGTCAACCAGTATTGTGCATAGAATTCCTTGTTACGTATTGATTTATGGAAGAACCAGCTCTTAGAAGGAAACCGATGAAGCACTAGTGACCGAACACGAGAACCTGTATACAACCGTCTATATCACTAGAATCCCTTAATCTAGCGACTAGAGCATTAAAACCCGGAAGTGGCCGGAATCGCAAGTGGGCGTGTCCGATTAGGTCACGCCTCCGCAGATTCCCGCCCTTCGTGACCTCGCTGATATGCATATAAAATACATACGGATTTGTGCCCTTGAAGCCTTACAGCTTATAAATTCGTTCTAATCACCTATTTATTGACTTATCTACGGAAAAATATTCAAAAAGGCAGCAGTGATTGTGCTTATCCAAAATCCAAGTACTAAAATATGTTATATACACTTTTTCGTGATTTAGGAGCCTACGGTGCTGGGGTTCTCGCTGGCTCTGGAACTAGGCAAGGGTTTGGAGATGCCCAGCTTGACCGGGCCAGGGAGGGTACCTTTGAGGGCCTGGACCGCCTGGTCTAGTGTCACGTTCTTGATGACCCTACCGTCGACGCTGATGAGGCGATCACCAGGTGTGATGCGGCCATCGTGTTCAGCGGCTCCGTTGGGCACCAAACTGCGCACTACGATAACCGTGCCCTTCGGGTCCAGCGGGTCCTGGTAGTCCAGTATCGAGAACCCCAGCCCCCGATCCGTTTTGATCAGTTCTATAAACTCCACCTCGTCCGACCACATGGCCAAATTCGTAACCTCCAGAGACCGCGACTTGGCCTTCTGCAAACTCGGCTCACTCGTGACGGTCACAGTACTCGACGTGTTCAAACTCGTGTCACTCAGCGCCTTGAGCAGCCGCTGCTCCGGCTGCGGAAGCAAGTTCTTCAAACTGCCCCCCAGGATATTCCTGGCCTCGAACGCGGCCCTATCCTGCGAGGTGTTGATGACCCGGTTCTCGCCGCTCTCGCTCTTGCGGGCGCAGACGAGGCGCACGGTGTTCGGGAGCTCCCGAAGGATCTTCACCACGTCCACGTGCTTGATCCCGAGGAGTTTCTGCCCGTTCACCTCCAGCAGTTCGTCGCCGGAAGACAATTTCCCGTTGAGGCCCACGGGGCCCTCGGGCAGGATCGAGCGGATGTAGTGGTGGGGGCGCAGCTCCACGCCTCCTTCGACGTCGACGGTGCCCTCCAAGCTTATGCCCAGACCCTTGAGTTTGGTTAAGTTGGCGACGACGATTTCGACATCGTCCCCCACGATGACCTCCCACTTTTTCTTTGTCGCGGTTTCGAGGTCGTCGGCGGGGTTGGCTTCAAAGTTCTCTTCGATGAAGATTTCCTTGTTTTCGGGGTTTTGCTCGTAGATCTCGCTGTTGACGCTGAGGACTGACTCGCCCTCGGGCTCGATCTGGCTCTGCTGGGCAAAGTGAGGTTAGGGGCGTGGCGATGGAGGAGGGCGGAGAACGAAGTCGAGTGGCAAAGAAGGCGTGGTTTGGGGTGTGGTTAGGGGGGATCTAGTGCGCTTTAGTAGAGTTACTTATCTTTATATAGGGTGGTTCCATATGAAAACACCAAACGATTTTTGATTTTGGTGGAAAAAATTTACTGAACAACTCTTCTGTTTTGACATTTCATGACTCCTAGAGTACGAAAAAAATGGGTCTTCCGTTTCCGCCTGTCTATTTGTCTATCAGAATTTTTCGTTTTTTCATTTTCTTTAATTTTTAAATTTTTCCATTTTTCAATTTGTCAACTTCAAAACTTCCTAAATTTTTCAATTTTTCAAGTTCTTGATTTGCATTTTTCATTCCCAGATTTTTATTTTTCATTTTTTCGATTTTAATTAACAATTTGTTGTGTATTTAATTCTTTAAATTTTCAGTATTCGATTTTTCAATTGCTCGATTTTCCGATTATTAATTTTTCAATTTTCCAATTTTTGAATTTCTTAATTATCCTATTTTTCTTTAATTGTCAATATTTCAGTTTTACACCATTTCGTTTTTTCGATTTTGCACTTTCTCCATTTTTAAGTTTCTCAATTTTTAATTTTTTGACTTTTCAGTTTTCATTTTATACTATTTCGTTTTAGATTTTTCAATTTTGCAAGTTTTCATTTTTTTTAATTCGAAAACAACTAAAAAATCGGAAAAAATTGAAAAATAGGAAAACTGAAAAAATGGAAAATTTGCAAAATCGAAAAAGTGGGACATTGAAAAATTGCAAATTAAAGAACAGAGGAAACGAAAAATCGAAATATTGGAAAGAAGAAAAATATAAAACAATGAAAAAACAACCAAGTGAAAACGTTTTAACTAAAAAATCGAAAAATTCTAAAATCGTAAAATTAGAAAAGCAAAAAATTTAAAAAAATATCATTATTATTAGAAACATAAAATGAAAACTAGAAAAACTGCAAATCAAAAATTGAAGAAAGAAATATTGAAAAATTGAGAAACTGAAAAATTTTAAATTGAAAAAACGAAAAATTAAAGAATTATAATTTGAAACATCGAAAAACTGAAAACCGAAAAATTGCAAATTGAAAAATTGAAAAATCCAAAAATTAAAAAATGCACATGAAAAAAAGGAAAAAATAGAAAATCAAAAACCGAAAGGAAAAATTGAAGAAACGACAAATTGCCATATCCAAAAATTGAAGAATTCACATTGAAAAAAAAGAGAAATTAGAAAACCAGAACACTGAAAAACGGAAAAATTGAAAACTCCTAAAATTGGATACTGAAAAATTGCAAAATCTAAAAATTGATACATCGAAAAGTTGGAAAAAGTTTGTTTAAATTCTTCATTTTTTTCGATTTTTCGAGATCACGATGTTTAATTTTTTTATTTTAAATTTTCCAATTTTCAACTTTTTTTTTTGGCTTTTGGGGTTTTTCGATTTTTGAGTTTTCGATTTTTCAATTTTTCGAATTCCAAATTTTCCAATTTTTTAAATTTTGGATGTTTCAATTTTTTGATACTTAAAATTTTTAGTTTTTTGAATTAAAATTTTTTGATTTTTCGATTTTTCAGTTCTTCGATTTTTCTATTCAATTTTTCGATTTTTTAAGTTTTGATTCCTGAATCTCAGTTCTTCGATTTTTTCGATATTTCGGTTTTCTGAATTTTACAATTTTTCGATACATTGAAAAGTTGAAAAATCGGAAAACTGAAAATTTTAAAAATAAAAACTCGGATGCATATCGTACAAACGAAGAAAGAAAAAAAAAAGAAAAATTGAAATTAAAAAAACAAAGAATTATAAAATCGGAACTTTAAAAAATCGAGAAATTGTAAAAAAAAAAAATCCCAAACCAAAAATTTGAGAAATGAAAAATTAAAGAATCGAAAAATTGCAAATCGAAAAATTGGATACATGAAAATTGAAAAAAAAAAAAATATATAAAATCGACACATTTAAAAATCGAATAACTGAAAAGTTCAAAAATTTGAAAATCGAAAATCTTCTTCGGTTCAAAAATTTTTCGATTTGCCAGCATTTCGATTTTTCAATTTTTCAATATCTCGATTGATTTTTTAGTTTTTCGATTTTTCAATTTTTTTGATGTTTCAGTCTTGGGATTTTCAATTTTTCGAGTCTTCATTTTTTCTTCGATATTTGAATCTTTTAATTTTTTCAATTATAAAATTTTAGATTTTTCGATGTCTCGATTTTTAAATTCTTCGGTTTTTTCAATTTCTCGAGATCTCGATGTTTTGATTTTTTTTTATTTTAAATTTTACAATTTTCAACTTTTCTATTTTTCGATTTTGGGCTACTGTTTTATCTAGTTTTTTGACTTTTCGACTTCTCAGTTTTTCGACTTTTTGACTTTTCGATTTCCCAATTTTCCGATTTTTTAAATTTTGGGTTTCTCGATTTCTCGGTGTTTCGATTTCTCGACATTTCGACATTTAATTTTTCAATTTTAAAATTTTAGATGTTTCAAATTTTCAATTTTTTTTTTAAATATTTGATTTTGATATTTTTCAGTTCTTCGATATTTCTATTTTTCAATGTTTTGATTTTTTCATTTTTCAATTCCTGACAACTGGGTTTTTAGATTTTTAAAATTTTTCGATATTTCGATTTTTCAGTTCTTCAATATTTCTATTTCCCGTTTTTTCGATTTTACTATTTTTCGATTTCCTGACATTTCGGTTTTTTGATTTTTACAATTTTTCGATACATCATAATAAAAAATAAAATAAAACTGAAAAATTTAAAATTGAAAAGTCAGAAGCATATCGTACAAACGAAGAAACAAAAAATGAAAAATTGAAATTGAAAAAACGAAGAATTATAAAAACGAAACATTAAAAAATCGAAAAATTGTTAAAATAAAGAAAATAAAAAACCGAAACCAAAAATTGCAAATCGAAAATTTGAAGTCATGAAAAATTAAAGAATCGAAAAATTAAAAACTAAAAACTGGAAAAATTTTAAATCGAAAAGTTGTAAAAGCTGGAAATTAAAGAAAGAAAAAAAAAACGAAAAATTGAAAAAAATAAAATTGAAACCATAAAAAATTATAAAACCGAAACATTTAAAAATAGAAAAATTAAAAATTGAAAACTAGAAACTCAAATCCAAAAATCGCAAAAGTTCAGAAGTTAGAAAATTGAAAACCTTCTTCGGCTTTTAAATTTTTCGATTTGTCAGTTTTTCGAATTTTCAATTTTTCAATTTCTCCATTGAGAGTTCCATGTTTCGATTTTTCGATGGTTCAATTTCTAGATCTATCACTTTTTCTATTTTCCAATTTTTCGATTTTCCAGTTTTTTGATTTTTTAAATTTTCGAATTTCCTCCTTGGATTTTTCAATTTTTGGTTTTTCAATTTTTCGAGTCTTCAATTTTTTTTCGATTTTTGAATTTTTCGAATTTTTGACGATTCGATTTGTCGATTTTTCGATTTTTCAATTTTTCTCGAGATCTCGATGTTTCGGTTTTTTTTTATTTTAAATTTTACAATTTTTAACTTTTCTATTTTTCGATTTTGGGCTATTGTACTACATACCTCAATTTTTCGAATTTTCGGTTTTTTGATTTCTCGACTTTCCGATATTTAAAAATATCAATTTTTTTTTATTTCTCGATTTTTCAGTTTTTCTACATTTCTATCAATTTTTCGATTTCCTGACGTCTCTGTTTTTTGATTTTTACAATTTTCCGGTACATCGAAAAGTTGGAAAATCGGAAAACTGACAATTTTAAAAATGAAAACTGGATGTATATCGTACAAATAAAGAAACAAAAAAATATGAAAAATTGAAATTGAAAAACAAAGAATTATAAAACCAGAACTTTAACAAATTGACAAATTGTAAAAAAAAAATAAAAATCCCAAACCAAATATTGCAAATCGAAAATTTGAAAAAATAAAAACTCGAAAAATTTTAAATCGAAAAATTGCAAATTCTAAAAATGGAACAAACAAACAAAATGGAAAAATCTAAAAATTGAATAAATCAAAATTGAAAAAAACACAAAAATTATGAAATCGAAACATTTAAAAATCGAATAACTGAAAAGTTCAAAAGTTCCAAAATTGAAAAATTTCTTTGGTTTTTAAATTTTTCGATTTCTCAGTATTTCGATTATTCAATTTTTCAATTTCCCCATTGAGATTTCGATGTTTCGATTTTTTGATGGTTCAAGTTCTAGATCTATCAATTTTTCTATTTTTTAATTTTTCGATTTTCCAGTTTTTCGATTGTTTAAATTTTCGAATTTCCTAATGGATTTTTCGACCTTTCGATTTCTCGATTTTTCAATTTTTAGATATTTCAATTTTGGAATTTTTGCAAATCGGAAAATTGAATAAATTAAAATTGAAAACTCGAAAAATTGCAAATTCTAAAAATGGAGAAAACAAAACAATGGAAAAATCGCTAAATTGAATAAATCAAAATTGAAAAAACACAAAAATTATGAAACCGAAACATTTAAAAATCGAATAACTGAAAAGTTTAAAAGCTCCAAAATTGAAAGATTTCTTTGGTTTTTAAATTTTTCGATTTCTCAGTATTTCGATTATTCAATTTTTCAATTTCCCCATTGAGATTTCTGTTTCGATTTTTTGATGGTTCAATTTCTAGATCTATCATTTTCTCTATTTTTTAAGTTTTCGATTTTCCAGGTTTTTGATTTACCAGTTTTTCGATTGTTTAAATTTTCGAATTTCCTAATGGATTTTTCGACCTTTCGATTTCTCGATTTTTCAATTTTTAGATATTTCAATTTTAGGATTTTTGCAAATCGGAAAATTGAATAAATTAAAATTGAAAACTCGAAAAATTTTAAATCGAAAAATTGCAAATTCTAAAAATGGAAAAATCGAAAAATTGAATAAATCAAAATTGAAAAAACGCAAAAATTATTAAATCGAAACATTTAAAAATCGAATAACTGAAAGGCTCAAAAGTTCCAAAATTGAAAAATTTCTTTGGTTCTTAAATTTTTCAATTTCTCACTACATATTTCGATTATTCAATTTCTAGATCTATCACTTTTTCAATTTTTTAATTTTTCGATTTTCCAGTTTTTCGATTTTTTAAATTTTCGAATTTGCTAATGGATTTTTCGACCTTTCGATTTCTCGATTTTTCAATTTTTAGATATTTCAATTTTGGAATTTTTGCAAATCGGAAAATTGAATAAATTAAAATTGAAAACTCGAAAAATTGCAAATTCTAAAAATGGAGAAAACAAAACAATGGAAAAATCGCTAAATTGAATAAATCAAAATTGAAAAAACACAAAAATTATGAAACCGAAACATTTAAAAATCGAATAACTGAAAAGTTTAAAAGCTCCAAAATTGAAAGATTTCTTTGGTTTTTAAATTTTTCGATTTCTCAGTATTTCGATTATTCAATTTTTCAATTTCCCCATTGAGATTTCTGTTTCGATTTTTTGATGGTTCAATTTCTAGATCTATCATTTTCTCTATTTTTTAAGTTTTCGATTTTCCAGGTTTTTGATTTACCAGTTTTTCGATTGTTTAAATTTTCGAATTTCCTAATGGATTTTTCGACCTTTCGATTTCTCGATTTTTCAATTTTTAGATATTTCAATTTTAGGATTTTTGCAAATCGGAAAATTGAATAAATTAAAATTGAAAACTCGAAAAATTTTAAATCGAAAAATTGCAAATTCTAAAAATGGAAAAATCGAAAAATTGAATAAATCAAAATTGAAAAAACGCAAAAATTATTAAATCGAAACATTTAAAAATCGAATAACTGAAAGGCTCAAAAGTTCCAAAATTGAAAAATTTCTTTGGTTCTTAAATTTTTCAATTTCTCACTACATATTTCGATTATTCAATTTCTAGATCTATCACTTTTTCAATTTTTTAATTTTTCGATTTTCCAGTTTTTCGATTTTTTAAATTTTCGAATTTGCTAATGGATTTTTCGACCTTTCGATTTCTCGATTTTTCAATTTTTAGATGTTTCAGTTTTGGAATTTTACAATTTTCCGAGTCTTCACTTTTTCTTCGATTTTTGAACTTTTCGATATCAACTCGAAAAATTAAAAAATGGAAATATTTAAAAATCGAATAACTGATAAAATAAAGAAAATAAAAAACCGAAATGAAAAATTGCAAATTGAAACCACGAGAAACTCTAATCGAAAAATCGTAAAATTTAAAAAATGAAAATTTTAAACTTGAAAATTCGAAAAACATATTTCAAGCAATTTATTCCGCAAGAAAATGATAGATAGTCCAGGATCATAAAATTTCCGTTACATTTTCTATTATATGAGTACTAAATGCCTAAAAAAAAACAACTCTCTTAGATCACCAGTGTTGCCACACAAACCAGCTAAAAATCACCAAAATCAGGAAATTATAACCAAGTTTAAGTAGCCCACCATGCATGGAAGACTTGTTCAGATATGATACTTATTATTGAAAGCACATTTTTAAGCAGTAAAATAAAATTACAATAATTTAAATACGTGTTACAGAAAAAAAGTTACAGCCTATAATAGGAGAGTTTGAAAATGGCACAACTTCAGATTTCCAAGGGGTGCCAATCGGAATTCAAAAATCCAAAAACTAATTGACAGCGCACTCTTTTATTCAAATTTTGTCTTTTCATATGGAACGACCTTATAACGATTGAACAATTAGGGAATGACACTGTAGATCGCATATTGGGGCTTCTGGTTCATTCTAATTTAAATAAAGTAAACTGTGTCAAACTCACAAGACTTCGTTCTTCTTCCTTCAATATCCACGGCGCGAATTACTAATACAATAGATTTTTCTGAATGACAAGAAATTTTAATTCAAACACGTTATTATTCCCACAGCACCGAAATATTTGAACGCAGTCAGCGCTCCGAGGGATGATCAAGAACTTCTAAAAGTGACTTATAAATTTATTCAAAGGAAAAAAAGACAAAACAATGTTGACACTTCTAGAATAACACAATTACGTGCGACAGAACTTTCCACGTGATATCCAATTCCTCGCTTTTTTAGGCGGATGTTCCGCGTTCATTAAACGAGTGGGAGTCGAGAATATTAAATTCCCTATTATTATGCCTATAAAGGCAGCAATTCCATCATTACTCCGCCTAAAAATAACCTCCGAATTCGTCCCCTTGAACTTTACATCGTTTTACCTTCATCCCCGCATGATTATTTAATTCTCATTACCTCTGACGCCTCGATCGGGATCCAGCTGAGCGTCGTCTGCGAGGGCGACGGCGGACTTAAGTCCTTTTGTTCCTGCGTCGCGAGCGCCTCCTTCAGCTGCTCGAACTTCGGCCCTCTTAAGTACCTCTCGAAAGTCAGCACGACCTTCCCCCCAGTTTGCTTAATCTTCTCTACAGCTTCATAATTCGTAAAACCGTGAAGAGATTGTCCGTCAACTTCCACGATTCGGTCGTTAATGTTTATCTTTCCGCACTTGTAAGCTTCACTGCCTTCGTTTAAACTCTTCACGAAAATACCGCTCAGGTCTTCCCTCTCGCACACGTACCTGGGGAATTTTAAACCCTCGTTAGTGGCAGTCGGAGGAATTGGGGCTTAAATTGCGAAACGGGCGAGTTCGGGGATCGCATTACGGTGTTCAGCCCGAGCCGAGATCACGAGTAATCAAAAAGACCTCCGCCTTGGATCAGGTCAGGCGGAGTTCGGTGTGGCGTAATGTTAATTCGTTAAAAGGACCTGTCATCCCCACGAGGGTTGCGACAATTTTATCCATCCGTGTCAGAATTAAAACCCGGGCCGATCTAACGAGGTAATGGAGGGCGCACGATCGGTCGGTCATCGGAGCCCCGGCTGATCTGGCCGGGGAATGCCTTACCTATATCGCATCATCCAGCCGAGTCACGGAAGCACTTGCCGCGTTTTGATGAATCGTAAAGGGTATTTATTATTGAAACCGCGTGCGTTTGCATGTCTGTAAACGGAATCCCGGAGTCCTTTATCGTCCTACCGAGTCATGAGATGGTCGGGACGTGTCACAGTCAAAGCACAGAATTGATACACCGGAGGGTTGATTTTGCTTCTCGAGCGTAAGCTAAGGAAGTGCTGTAATCGAGTCCATCGGGCGACCCCTAGCCCCTAGACAGATAATCTCCGAAATTTCCGGACTGATTATTGTCAATTTACAAGAGCAAATTTTATTTAAATTTTATAAAATAACGTACTCCTCCATTTGTGGTTTATGAATCCCCGTTGAGTTTTTACCTAAGTTTTTCCAGATTGCCCCCCCCCCAGGAATTGGTGAATAAATGTTATTTAAATGTTAAAAAGTAACAAAGTCGTTAACTAGTGGTCTATGGATCCGTTTTTATTTTTTTTCTTGGACATCCCTACTTAAAAAAAAGTTCAAATTGTAGATATTGCAATTTTCGATTTCTCATTTTTTCGATATGTATTTCAATGTTGGGATTTTTCAGCCTTTTATTTTTCAATTTTTCGTTCTTCAAATTTTCGATTTCTTGATTTTTCAGTTTTGGGATTTTTTAATTTTAAGTGTTTCAATTTTTTTAATTTTTGATGTTTCGATTTCTAGATTTTTCGATTGGTCAGTTTTTCGATTTTTCAATTTCTGAATTATTGAGATTACGATTTTTCGACTGTTCAATTTCTGGATCTTTTACTTTTTCAGTTTTTCAGGTTTTTGACTTGTCCATTTTTTAAATTTTCAATTTTCCTATTTGAATTTTTCGACTTCTGGATTTCTCGATTTTTCAATTTTTCCATATTTCAGTTTTGGGATTTTTCAATTTTTCTTCGGTTTTTGAATTTTTCGATACTTCAGTTTTGAGATTTTAACATTTTTCCAATTTTTCGATTCATTTTCGTTATTTTAATTTTTCGATTCTCTGGTTTCAAAAATTTTCGATTTGTCAATTTTTCGATTTTTTAATTTTTTTAATTTTAAATTTTAGAAATTGTATCTTTTCTATTTTTCGATTTTGGGCTATTTCCCAATTTTTAGACTTTTCGATCTTTCTAAGTTGCGATTTTTTGATTTCTCGGTTCTTCGACTTATCGATTTTTCAATTTTTCGATGTTTCGATTTGTTGATTTCTCAAGTTTCCGATTTTTTAAATTTTGGATTCTTTAATTGCTCGGTTTTTCAATTTCTCAGTTATTCGATTTTCCGAATTTTCGGCCTTTCGATTTTTAATTTTTCTATTTTTAAATTTTAGATGTTTACGATTACGATTTTTTGATGTTTCGATTTCCTGACATCTGGTTTTTAGATTTTTACAATTTTCCGACATTTTAATTTTGGGAATTTTTAAATTTTTCGATTTTTCAATTCTTCAGTATTTCTATTTATCAATTTTTGATTTTTCAGCTTTTTGATTTTTGAATTCTTTTAATTTTTGAATTTTACATTTTTCGATTTTAAAAGTTTTTCAATTTATGGGTTTTTAGATTTCACAATATTTCAATTTTGGAAATTACCAATTTCTGGTTATTTCAATTTTTCGATTTTCTGATGTTTCGATTTCTCGACTTTTCAATTTTTTGTACTCTTCAATTTTTCGATACCTTTTTGATTTTACAAGTCTTGGATATTTCTATTTTTGGAATTTTTGAAATTTTTGATTTTTCAGTTTTTTTTATTTTTTCGATTTCTCGATCTTTCAATTTTTCGACTTTTCGGTTTTCAATTTTTTGTTTTCGAACTTTTTGATTTTTGAGTTTTTCAATTTTCCCATTTTTAAATTTTTCAAATTTGAATATCTATTTCTCGATTTTAAGCTATTAAGATATCTATTTCTCGACTTTCGATTTCTGGACCTTTCGATTTCTGAATGTTTAGTTTTTCAATTATTCGATGTTTCGTTTTTTCGGCTTTTTGACGCTTCGAATTGTCAATTTTTCGACATTTTATTTTTTCACTTTTTTAAATTTAAAATTTTTTGATTTCTCAATTTTTCAGTTCTTCGATTTTTTGATGTTTCGATTTCTAACATCTGGTTTTTCAATTTTTAGATTTTTTCGGTTTTTTAAGCTTCAAATTTCTCAATTATTCAACATTTTAATTTTGAGAATTTTTAAATTTTTCGATTTTTCAGTTCTTCGATATGTATTTCTATTTTTCAATATTTCGAAATTTTGAATTTGTGATTTTTCAATTCTTGGATATTCATATTTTTCAATTTTCCGAATTTATGAATTTTTGATTTGTCAGCATTTTGATTTTTGAATTTTCGTATTTTTTAAATTTTGGATTTTTCGAATCTTCAATTTTTCAAATTTCCCAGCTTGTCGATTTTTCAAATTTCGCAGTTTTTCTATTTTTCGACTGTTCGTTATTTTAATTTTTCAATTTTATATTTTTTGATTTCTCAATTTTCCAGTTCTTCAATATTTCTATTTTTCAATTTTTCGTATTTATAAATTTGTGATTTTTGAATTTTTGAATTTTTTAAATTTTACATTTTTCGATAGTTTGATGATTCTCAAGGACTCGGTTTTTAGATTTTGAAAATTTTACAATTTTTGGGTTCTTAAATTTCTAGATTTTTCACAATATTATAATTTTGGGAATTACCAATTTTTGGTTATTTCAATATTTCGATTTTGGACTCTTCTATTTTTCGAAATATTTTCGATTTTCAATTCTTGGATATATTTTTCAGTTTTTCAATTTTCCCATTTTTAAATTGTTCAAATTTTAATATCTATTTTTCGATTAGGCTATTAAGATACCTCAATTTTTCGATTTTTTGACTTCTCGACTTTTCGGTTTTTCGACCTTTCGATTACTGAATTTTTCGATGTTTTACTTTTTCGGCTTTTTGATGCTTCGACTTGTCAATTTTTCGATATTTTATTTTTTCACTTATTTAAATTTTAGATTTTTTGATTTCTCGATTTTTCAGTTCTTTGATATTTCTATTTAAAAATTTTTCGAAATTTAAAATTTTTTATATTTCAGTTTTTTGATTTTTCAATTTTTCGATTTCCTGATATCTGGTTTTTCAATTTTTACAATTTTCCGACTTTTCAAGTTTTAAATTTCTTCATTTTTCAACATTTTAATTTTGGGAATTAAATTTGTCGATATTTCTGTTTTTCGAATTTTTGGAATTTTTAAATTTTAGACTTGTCAGTTTTTTTGATGTTTCAATTTCTCGATCTTTTGATTTTTCGACTTCTCGGTTTTAGATTTTTCGGATTTTCAATTTTTCGATTTTTAAAATTTTTGATTTTTCAGTTTTTCAATTTTCCCGATTTTATATTTTTCAAATTTTAATATCTATTTTTAGACTTTAGACTATTAAGATATCCCCATTTTTCGATTTTTTGACTTCTCGACTTTTCGATCTTTCGATTTCTGAATGTTTAGTTTTTCAACTTTTTGATGTTTCGCTTTTTCGGCTTTTTGATGCTTCCATTTGTCAATTTTTCGATATTTTATTTTTTCACTTATTTAAATTTTAGATTTTCTGATTTCTCGATTTTTTTCAGTTCTTCGATATTTCTATTTTTCAATTTTTCCAAATTTAAAATTTTTGATTTTTCATTTTTTTGATTTTTAAATTTTCCGATTTTTTCATATTTCGATCTAAGAATTTTTCGATGTTTCGATTTCCTGATAACTGGTTTTTCAATTTTTGCAATTTTTCGATTTTTCAAGTTTTAAATTTCTGATTTTTCAACATTTTAATTTTGGGAATTTTTAAATTTTTCGATATTTCTCGCAGAATTTTTGGAATTTTTAAATTTTAGACTTTTCGGTTTTTTTCATGTTTCAATTTCTCGATCTTTTGATTTTTCGACTTCTCGGTTTTAGATTTTCGGATTTTCAATTTTTCAAATTTTAATATCTATTTTTAGATAAAGGGCTAAGGTATCCAAATTTTTCATTTTTTGACTTCTCGACTTTTCGATCTTTCGGTTTCTGAATGTTTAGTTTTTCAATTTTTTGATGTTTCGCTTTTTCGGCTTTTTGATGCTTCCATTTGTCAATTTTTCGATATTTTATTTTTTCACTTTTTTAAATTTTAGAATTTCTGATTTCTCGATTTTTTTTTTCAGTTTTTCGAAATTTCTATTTTTCAATTTTTTTTGACTTCCTGACATCTGGTTTTTCAATTTTTACAATTTTTCAAGCTTCAAATTTCTCAATTTTTCAACATTTTAATTTTGGAATTTGTAAGTTTTTCGATTTTTTAATTCTTCCATATTTCTATTTTTCAAATTTTTACTGTTTTAGCTGTTTGATTTTTGAATTTTTTGTTTTTTTAAATTATACAATTTTTAAGTACCATTTTTTTTTTGATATTTCGATCTCCTGACATCTGGGTTTTCGATTTTGAAAGTTTTTCAATTTTTGGGTTTTCAGATTTCCCGACTTTTCAAAATTTTTCAATTTTGGGAATAACCCATTTCTCGACTTTTCGATCTTTCGATTTCTGAATGTTTAGTTTTTCAACTTTTTGATGTTTCGCTTTTTCGGCTTTTTGATGCTTCCATTTGTCAATTTTTCGATATTTTATTTTTTCACTTATTTAAATTTTAGATTTTCTGATTTCTCGATTTTTTTCAGTTCTTCGATATTTCTATTTTTCAATTTTTCCAAATTTAAAATTTTTGATTTTTCATTTTTTTGATTTTTAAATTTTCCGATTTTTTCATATTTCGATCTAAGAATTTTTTGATGTTTCGATTTCCTGATAACTGGTTTTTCAATTTTTGCAATTTTTCGATTTTTCAAGTTTTAAATTTCTGATTTTTCAACATTTTAATTTTGGGAATTTTTAAATTTTTCGATATTTCTCGCAGAATTTTTGGAATTTTTAAATTTTAGACTTTTCGGTTTTTTTCATGTTTCAATTTCTCGATCTTTTGATTTTTCGACTTCTCGGTTTTAGATTTTCGGATTTTCAATTTTTCAAATTTTAATATCTATTTTTAGATAAAGGGCTAAGGTATCCAAATTTTTCATTTTTTGACTTCTCGACTTTTCGATCTTTCGGTTTCTGAATGTTTAGTTTTTCAATTTTTTGATGTTTCGCTTTTTCGGCTTTTTGATGCTTCCATTTGTCAATTTTTCGATATTTTATTTTTTCACTTTTTTAAATTTTAGAATTTCTGATTTCTCGATTTTTTTTTTCAGTTTTTCGAAATTTCTATTTTTCAATTTTTTTTGACTTCCTGACATCTGGTTTTTCAATTTTTACAATTTTTCAAGCTTCAAATTTCTCAATTTTTCAACATTTTAATTTTGGAATTTTTAAGTTTTTCGATTTTTTAATTCTTCCATATTTCTATTTTTCAAATTTTTACTGTTTTAGCTGTTTGATTTTTGAATTTTTTGTTTTTTTAAATTATACAATTTTTAAGTACCATTTTTTTTTTGATATTTCGATCTCCTGACATCTGGGTTTTCGATTTTGAAAGTTTTTCAATTTTTGGGTTTTCAGATTTCCCGACTTTTCAAAATTTTTCAATTTTGGGAATAACCCATTTCTGGTTAATTCAATTTTTCCATTTTTTGATGTTTCGGTTACTCGATTTTTCAATTTTTTGATTTTTCCATATTTCTATTTTTCGATTTTTGGGTATTTTAAATTTTAGTGTTTTCTATTTTTTTGATGTTTCGATTTCTGGGTCTTTCGATTTTTTGACTTCTCGATTTTTCGATTTATCAGCTTTTCGATTTTGCAATTTTTCAACTTTTCGATTTTTTGTTGTTTCGTTTTTTCGGTTTTACAGTTCTTCCATTTATTAAATTTTATGTTTTTCGTTTTCCCGATTTCTCGAATTTCTATCTTTCGAATTTTTGATTTTTCGTTTTTTCCATTTTTCGATTTTAGGATTTATTCATGTTTCGATTCCTTGACATCTAGGTTTTTCGATTTTTAAAAATTTTCGCCTTTTCGATTTTTCAACATTTCAAGTTTTATAATTTTTAATTTCTGGATTTTTCGATTTTTTATTTCCCTTGATTTTCCAAAACACCCAACAGGTTCTGGAACCTGCAAGCCCTCTGACCATTTGCGGTAGACTACCCGAAACCCCAATCATCTTCCCGAGTCGAGCAAAAACTTCGATTTTGAACTGGAGGCTTTACCCCAAATTCCCCATCATCTTCCCGAGTCAACCACCGGCACCAGGAGTCTCCCGACCCTCCACGGACTCACCTCACTCACCCTCTGAACTCCCCAGCTCTCCCACTTACCCAGCTATCGTAATTCCCAACCCGTACTCGTTCTTGTTCAGCTCTACGGTGAAGCGGTCCGTCTCCGGCAGGGTGTACTCGATATCCGCGGGTATGATCACGACATGGCCATCATTAACCGGCGAGTAGTCGTTGGTGTTGTTGTTGTTATTGTTGACGGCGACGTCCAGCGAGTTGTAGGTAAGGGGATTGGCGTCCGAGTTGAGGTCGGTCTGGTCGAGGTCGTCGCAGATTGTGCGGTCGTTGTACGTGTAAAAGGAGGCGTAGCCGTTCTGCTGGAGTTGGCGGTCGAGCTCCTCGGGGTCGGTGAGGATCTTAGTCGGGACTATCGGTGCCGAGCAGCCGAAGTTCTGGAAGTCCGAAGACGAGGGCTCGACGGGACGGGCAACCACCATTCTGACCTGGAAGTGAACAGTGCGGTTGGAGTGGACAGTGGAGAGCTAGTTATTCGAAATGGGTGTGTTTTGGCGTTGACAAAAAGGGTCCAAATTATACACATTTAGAGATGATCATGCAGTAATAAAAGTCACAAAAATTGATGACGGAGGATGTAAATTTGACGAACGTTAAATGTCAACGACCAAGAAAGTCAACGTTCATTATTTGACGGACCCTACTTTACAATAACTTCTTAGCTACTTACTGAATAAACTTCAATTTCGAAATTATTTTGGCTGTATTTCGTAGGCCAATTATTTCCATTTGGTCAAATATGTGTAATTGTGATGAACAAAATTCACACCAAAATTTATTTGAGACACTTACATACTTCATTGATCTTTTTTCCCCCATGGTAACTCCTACCTACGCAATGGAAAAATAGAAACTAACTAGAAAAAATGCGGCTAATAAATGTAAATATCAATGAAGTAATGACGCAGCTTAAGTAGGTACGTCATGTTAAAAATATTTGTGTAATTACAACTAATTCAAGGGTAGACAATGCGTTAAGTAAAATATGCATACACACAAAATTAACCCTATAACCCGAATTAATGAAACAAAATCGTCTTTGTTCAAAATTTTACCTTTAAACCAGTGGTCCCTAGTTGCAGATTAAACTAATAATAGTTACTTATTTGTTTTGAAGTTTTATTTCCGCATCGCAGGTGGTGCCATCTACCGCTCTCCATCCAGCTCTTAAAGTTATGTAAATTTAGCACTGCATATGTAAGCGACATTTAAGTGACGATTAAAAACGCTAAATATATTTTAATCAATAAAAGTGTCTCGTGCGTTCATGTAAACAATTATGATACAATAACAAGACAAATCATTATCTATAATATTATTGAAAGTAGTTTCCATCAATAATTATCGACCTTTGAACTGTGTAATAACAATCTGGAACCCATAATTTTTATTCATTGTATTACACAGAAAAAGTAGGTTAATGACTGCAGGTAATTGCACCCTATTTTATTATATTTGTAGGAAGTTCACACTGACCCCCGCAGTACTAACGATACTTAAATGTAAAGAAATAACAATGCAGTAAAATTCAACCATTTATTAAGTGGGATTTATAAAATTGCCGTTGACGTTCAAGAGAAGTGGAGGATTGAAGTTTCTTGTTGTCGAAATAAGTCTGTACATATTACGAAAAAACAATGGTAAAATGTAGCCCCGCCCACCCGCCCTATCTCAATTGTGATGATTTTTTTATTCGTCGTGAGTCAAGCGTGGGCGGAGCTTAACTGCAAAATCCTTATTTCTCTATGAGAAATTAAAAACATGTTTTTGAGTATCGTGTTGTTCAAACAATAGTGTGTATACCCGCCCCGATCTCAATTCTCAATTGCGATGAATTTTTCATTCGTTGTCAAATCGAGGGGCGGGGCTTAATTGCAGGATCCATATTTTATGCAAGATATGTATTTGAGTAACGTGTTATTCAAAGAATACTATGTATATTAAGAAAAAATTAAAGCCAAAGATTAAACCCCACCCATACCTGCCCTGATTTAAATTGTAATGAAGTTTTAATTCGTTGCGAGGATGCCTAATTGCAAAATACATAGTTCCATACAAAAATTTACCGTTTTTAGCGTGTTTTAAGTTTCTAAGATTAAAAAAAACATCACAATTCATATTTTTTCTTAATGTACATACGTAGTATTCTTTGAATAACACGATACTCAAAACATGTTTTTAATTTCTTGTAAAGAAATAAGGATTTTGCAGTTAAGTTCCGCCCTCTTGGTTCACGGTGAATACTAAAAATCATCACAATTGAGACAGGGTGGGTGGGAGGGCTTACATTTTGCCTTTTTGTTTTAATATATGTAGACTTCTTTTCACAACATTAAACTAAAAATACGTTTAAAATTGAAAATTTGTATAAGGAAATACCGATTTTTTATTAGGCTCCGCTCCATCGCAAAATCCATATGTCCTTGAAAAATGTAGCATTTTAACCAAGTTCAAAGTTTTTTGTTGTGAAAACATGGCTATGCATATTAAGAAAAAGAAGGCAAAATATATACCCCGCCCACCCGCCCGGTCTCGATTCTGATAATTTTTTTTTAATTGTCGTAAGTCGAGGGGCGGAGCTTAATTGTAAAATCCTTATTTTTCTACGAGAAATAACCACGTGGAATATGTTCTTAACTAATCGTGTTATATAAAGAAAACTAAATACATATATTAATTAAAAAAGAAAACCAAAAGAGAAGCCCCACCCATCCATCTCGATCTCAATCGTGATGAATTTTTCATTGGTTGTCAGACCGAGGGGCGGAGCGCAATTGCAAAATCGATATTTCCGTATACAAATTTACTACTTTAGACATGTTTAAGTTTCTTGTTGGCGAAAAAAATCTACACATATTACGAAAAAAAGGGTAAAATGTAGGCCCGCCCACCCGCCCTATCTCAATTGTGATGATTTTTTTTATTCGTCGTGAGTCAAGCGTGGGCAGAGCTTAACTGCAAAATCCTTATTTCTCTACGAGAAATTAAAAACATGTTTTTGAGTATCGTGTTGTTTAAACAATACAATGTATATTAAGAAAAAATTAAAGTCAAGATTAAGCCCCACCTGATGTAAATAGTAACGAAATTTTCTTTCGTTGACAGGTCTAGGGGATGAGTCTAATTGCAAAATACATAGTTCCATACAAAATTTTTTTACCGTTTTTAAGTTTTTAAGTTTCTAAGAAAAAAAAAAATCATCACAATTGAGATGGGGTGGGTGGGCGGGCTTACATTTTCCTTGTTCTTTTATTATGTGTAGACTTCACTAAAAATATGTTTAAAATTGAAAATTTGTATAAGGAAATATCGATTTTTTTATTAGGCTCCGCCCCATAATTGCAAAATCCGTATTTCCTTCCAAAAATGTAACATTGTAACCATGTTTAAAGTTTTTTGTTGTGAAAAGATGGCTATGCATATTAAGAAAAACAAGGCAAAATATAAACCCCGCCCACCCGCCCGGTCTCAATTCTGATGTTTTTTTTTTAATCGTCGTAAGTCGAGGGGCGGAGCTTAATTGTAAAATCCTTATTTTTCTACGAGAAATAACCAAGTGGAATATGTTCTTAACTAATCGTGTTATATAAAGAAAACTAAATACATATATTAATTAAAAAAGAAAACCAAAAGAGAAGCCCCACCCATCCATCTCGATCTCAATCGTGATGAATTTTTCATTGGTTGTCAGACCGAGGGGCGGAGCGCAATTGCAAAATCGATATTTCCGTATACAAATTTACTACTTTAGACATGTTTAAGTTTCTTGTTGGCGAAAAAAATCTACACATATTACGAAAAAAAGGGTAAAATGTAGGCCCGCCCACCCGCCCTATCTCAATTGTGATGATTTTTTTTATTCGTCGTGAGTCAAGCGTGGGCGGAGCTTAACTGCAAAATCCTTATTTCTCTACGAGAAATTAAAAACATGTTTTTGAGTATCGTGTTGTTAAACAACACAATGTATATTAAAAAAAATTTAAAGTCAAGATTAAGCCCCACCTGATGTAGATAGTAATGAAATTTTCATTCGTTGACAGGTCTAGGGGAGGAGTCTAATTGCAAAATACGTAGTTCCATACAAATTTTTTTTACCGTTTTTAAGTTTCTAAGAATAAAAAAAATCATCACAATTGAGATGGGGTGGATGGGCGGGGTTCATATTTTGCCTTTTTTCTTAATGAACATAGGTAGTGTTCTTTGAATAACACGATATTCAAAAACTTGTTTTTAATTTCGTGTAACGAAATAAGGATTTTGCAGTTAAGCTCCGCCCTCTTGGTTCACAGTGAATAATAAAAATCATCACAATTGAGACAGGGTGGGTGGGCGGGCTTACATTTTGCCTTGTTAGTTTATTATGTGTAGACCTCAGAACATTATACTAAAAATATGTTTACAATTGAAAATTTGTATAAGAAAATATCGATTTTGTTTATTAGGCTCCGCCCCATAATGGCAAAATCCGTATTTCCTTGCAAAAATGTAGCATTTTAACAATGTTTTAGTTGTGAAAAGATGGCTATGCATATTAAGAAAAAGAAGGCACAATATAAACCCCGCCCACCCGCCCGGTCTCAATTCTGATGATTTTTTTTTAATCGTCGTAAGCCGAGAGGCGGAGCTTAATTGTAAAATCCTTATTTTTCTACGAGAAATTACCATGTGAAAAAATCAGTCTCGATCTCAATCGTGATGAATTTTTCATTCCTTGTCAGACCGAGGGGCGGAGAGTAATTGCAAAATCGATATTTCCGTATACAAATTTATCACTTTAGACATGTTTAAGTTTCTTGTGGGCGAAATAAATCCACACATATTAAGTACAAAGGGCAAAATGTAGCCCCGCCCACCCACCCTATCTCAATTGTGATGGTTTTTTTCTCGTCGTGAGCCAAGGGGGTGGAGCTTAACTGCAAAATACTTATTTCTTAGCGAGAAATTAAAAACATGTTTTTGAGTATCGTGTTGATTAGACAATACTGTGTATATTAAGAAAAAAATAAAGCCAAAGATTAGGCGCCACCCATACCCGGCCCGATCTCAATTCTCAATTGTGATGAGTTTTTCAGTCGTTGGCAGATCAAGGGGCGGGGCTTAATTGCAAGATCCATATTTTATGTAAGATATGTATTTGAGTATCGTGTTATTTAAAGAATACTATGTATATTAAAAAAAATTAGAGCCAAAGATTAAGCCCCACCCATACCTGCCCTGATTTAAATAGTGATGAAGATTTAATTGGTTGGCAGACCTAGGGGAGGAGCCTAGTTGCGAAATACATAGTTCCATACAAAAATTTACCGTTTTTAGCGTGTTTTAAGTTTCTAAGAATAAAAAAAATCATCACAACTGAGATGGGGTGGGCGGGCAGGGTTCATATTTTGCGCTTTTTTCTTAATGTACATAGGTACGTAGTATTCTTTGA